TTATGTTCAGTTACGTAGCTTATGCGTCAACTGGGTGACTAACAGCTTGAATAGGTAATTAGCAAGTACACTGTCCTTGTATACAAAATGAGTTACACAGCACACCTAATGTTGTGAAAACATACAGCTTGTGATGGGCTGCAGAAAAAACGTAAAACTCGCCAAATTCCCAGTATTACCTGGTAGCCATCTCTAACTATCATCTAATCATTCCTAAAACAATGAGCATAAAGCAAAGATTGGTATAACTATGAATGTTATAACACAACCCATATAATAGTACATGTAAGTGTAAACAATGACACAGTTGTGCTCTATTGTGACCTATGTTGGCTGTCTGGTGGCCATTTTGTTTTTGTTCATAACGACAGCTATTTTGTACTTTTTTGTTAAAAGTAAACAAATAGTTTCCATCCTGCTGTATACAATGTGATTAAATTGTATGTGTAAATTTTTAGTCCCCGTCGGACTGGCAGCCATTTTTGTCCTAAAAACACCAAAAATCAACATTTGGACATGTCATCAACCGTTTCTCGGACATGCCTTCATGACCGATTTGATTCAAACTTGGCATTGACATTAGTCGTGGTGGGTTACTGATGCACGTCATTTTTTTTTCGTGATTCGATTCAAAATGGCGGACTGGTGGCTATTTTGTTTTTTATTAGTTTTCTGCTTATTTTACAGAGATGATTGTACAGATTTTGGTTAAATTTTGTACAAAAGCAAGATATAATGGCCTGAATGTTGTTTTCAGTTATTTTTCTTTTGCATCGAATAAAATCACAAAATTCGAACATTTCATCAACCGTTTCTTGGACATGCCTTGACAGATTTCATTCAAACTTGGCATTAACATCAGTCATAGTGGGTTACTGGTGCACTTAATTGTTTTTCGTGATTTGATTCAAAATGGTGGACTGGGGGCATTTTGTTTTTTACGAGTGTTCTGATGATTGTACAGATTTGGGTTAAATTTAGTACAAAGGCAAGATATCGCTTTGTTTTTTTATTGACCTTCAACATTTGGACATGTCATTAACACTTCCTGGGGCATACATTGACCGATTTCATTCAAACTTAGTCTTTATACCTGTTTCATGCAATTTTGTAGCAAAATGGTTAAATACTATCACAATATTCAAACATAGTCTGACTATGCTTTTCATTGTTTGACAAAGTCACTAAAAGCATGACTGGGACTATGTCATTGACAATGACTTGTTAGAGAAGATAAAGTGGACAACCGCAGAACCCTGAGTGTACCCTTAATGTCACATTCAAGGAACACATTTATCAAGTATCAAAATAATTGGAGAAGTAGT